TGCAAAAGTGTATTGGTCTAGGAGGTCAGCAAATGCTTTAGCTGACTACCTAGCAAAACAGGGGGTGAATCGGGAGTTTTTGTTTTGTGCATTGTTGTAAGATTTTTGTTATTCAGGGGTCACCTTTTACTTTGGAAGGTGACAGTTGTTTCTTATGGTTTTATCTAATGAAAGTTACCATTTCCTATCCAAAAAAAAAAAGTGTACCTGTAATAGCAAGATCTGCCAAGAGATTAACAGGTTGAAAATTGAAGTTGGAGGTTTGCAGCAGTTGTAGTGTCAAGCAACTCAAGCTCTAGTTTCGGTTTCTTCCTCTTGTTACAAATGAAATCGAATGGAGGATTATTTCCTCCTACGTAACTTATAATAATGAAAGCATATTACAGGGGCCATGATATAATTGTTTCCCCACCTATTGAAAGTTAGAAATAACAAGGCATATGTCTCACATGCTTCCATGCTTACAATGATATAATTGTTTCCCCACCTCCCATGTCTTTCAAAAGATTGCTTTGAAATCCCCTTCCACTACTAGATTGTTGTAATGTAGTGGTTTCCCCAACCTCAAATCCTTGCAATATAGCCATCAATTTTGCCCTGATGGAGTCACCGATTCCTATAGGACCTAGGGGTACAGCTAATATATTGCCACCACTCTCTCTATACATGTCTCCGGTGCCTGATGCTTCTGGATTTACCCAAATTATAATTATCAGAGTTCAATATAGTTGTCAAGGCGACAACGCACCCTTTGAAGCTTGCCTCGCCTAATCACCAAGCAGTTTTGTACTATGTTCTATAAAATACCAAGCAGTTTTGTACTATGTTCTATAAAATAATTTTTTATTCTTTATTTCTTGACATTATAATTATAAAATAGACACTATTAAACTAAAATATTCATTTTGTGTGTTTATATACTAATTTCYTTTTATTATTTTCTTATTTGTTAGGGTTTAATCAATACAAACATTGCTAAATGCTGTATTGAATCCTCAAAGACTTTAAAACCTGAACCAATAAGTATGRAAGAACTTAAAATTTTATCTAACTACTACTACTGCTTTTACTTTTTTTCTTTTCCTATAACAAAAATAAGGTTTCAGCCCCTATCTATATATGTTTTATTTTTCTTTTCCTTCTTTTTCTTCTCATTAATATGTTGATTTTCTATACTTTAACATGAACTCTATACTTTTTTTTTATGAAAATTATGAACAATTATTAAGGAAATATGGTTATGGTACCTAAGAAACTACCCTAGGATCTATGTATTCTACATAAAAAAATCCATCGCGTAGGACGCCTAGTCGCCCACCTAGGCAACTAGGCAACAAGGCGCCCCCTGTCACCTAGCCTCGCCTTGGTGCCTTGGAAACTATGGAGTTTAATTTGATGAAGTTCATTGCTGGAGTAGACCAAGATTTAGAAATAATTATACTTGTCGAAGATGAAGAAGCCACAATATGCCAACTTCAAATGATATTGTTGGTAGAAAAGGGTTGAAACACTTCCAAAATCTTCACCCAATGAACTACCTTTACAGATATCTTTCTATTAGGATATCCTTGTGCCTCTTGATAATATCTTGCCCCTTTTCTTGGGAGGAGAAAAGAAAGAATTACTGAAAGCACTTCACACATCCCCTGGGGGTTCCACCTACATCCAAACAAAGAGAAGAAAATTCCTAAATACTTGACACAAATGGATAGATCTGTGAATAGTAAGTAGATTCGCATCTTGCTTTACAAAGAAAAATATATGGGGAGAAAAGCAACAAAATAGCACTTCCAAACATAATTCCCTTTAGATGATGTTGGTCCCCTCCAAACTACTTTCACGTGGAAAGATTTCTGGTTAGATGATTTAAAATTTAAAACACAAAAATTTGAAGAAGGATGCACAGAAGAGTTGACCTGATGGACAAAAAGATCAAATTCTAGTATATGAAGAAGAGGGATAAGAGTTAGTAATTGTTGATCATTTTTTTTTGTCACAATATCAAGGATCATATGTTCCATTCCATCCTACTTATTCAAATCTATGTTTCTCTTTACACAAGCAATGAGCACTGGGTCTGAGGAATCTATCTAGTGACACCAAACTTACATAAAAGGACAAGTTTTGAGCCTTTTGCTCTAAAAAATGGGCTGGAAAAGAAGTGACGTAAACTACAACTTATCAAAATTCTAAAAATTCTGCAATAAGACTTTTTAAGTTGAGCCTTTTAAGTATTAAATTTGTTTCCAAACACCAACAAACTAAAATTGATCAACAATCAGATCACCATGTAGTTATCAAGACAATGATGTGTTTCCTGAGGGGTGACAAGGTGTTTTCTGGGACATGTCTTTACTAAATCATGTTTGCATGCATGTTATCCCTTTTAGAAAAGAGAATGGCCAAGATGGGCACCTTATCATATGTTGTATATCATAATGTATTTTGTTTGTACTCTATACATGTTAGTGTGATGTTCACTGCTTATTTGTTTGGATTCTAGCTGCAATACTTGGATTTTGTGTTTTTATTCCGGTCATTGGCTTGATTATGTTGTATTGCTTGTTTGCTTGGATTCATTAGGCTATTTGACTAGTTACTTCACTTGTTTGTTTTTAATTCTTGTTGTATATGAAAATTCATGATTGTCTTACTTCTTTGCTGAATGCAATTGATTATATTTTGTATAGAATTTCAAAATAAAGCTGATATTGCCTTATTAGTGGTTTTTCAATTCATAGTTAAGGAGTTGAAAATGTAGAATACGCCAACATAGATGATATCTTATGAATTATAGGTCTTATTTGTCAAGAACCACCACCTAATTGGTGTTGGGCACCTGCCTAAGTTAGGCCACAAGTGCCATTCATAAGTATTGATCACCCAAAAATTATGAGATTGCTATTGGTGCAGGAATATGGAGAAACTTGAATTTCTTCCATGGTTTTTTTCCTTGCTTTTATATATTCATATCTGCCTCACATGGGTCAGCCTGTTTGAGGCTGTTCCTGTAACACTTCAGGCTTGTATGTCTCTGCCATATTCTTAAATATTCTAGAGAGGACACGATATTCATTTCTGGGTTCTTTTCCCTATTAACTCCATACTTTAATATTATTATTTGATGAATCTGTCTCACTGTATGATATTATTGGTTGACCTCTGTACATTTATTTTATGGTTGATCCAGGATTCTTCTGGCTACATGGTTGCATTTGCAGGGAGGAAATATGCAGCAAGGTCACCCCCTGCTTTTGTTGCAAACAGTACTTATATTGTAACCAGCTTTACTCTGGTAAGGAGATACCTCACAAAAAATTTTTTCTTCTTACATTCTATTAATCATCAAACCTTTTGTTTTTCCTTTTTTTAGGAAAGATATATTGATGTGTAGTATCAATTTTTCATTAAACCCTTATTTCCATTGTGAATGCAGGTTCTTGAATTTCAGAAGGGTAGGCTGCAGAACTTTTATTGGAAGAGAGATGGATGTGCTTCCTGCTCAGGAAATTCTAAGTTCGTCTGCCTCAACAAACAAGACTGTGCAATCAGAACTAGTAGCTGTAAAAGCCGAAGGGGGTCTGTAGACTGCAGCTTGGGAATACAGCTTGCCTTCTCAGGTACGGATAAACATGATGTTGTACTCAACTCATGGTATGAAGTGGAAAATCTACGCCAGTATTCCCTATATGGCCTATATTCAAATCTCAAGAATTCTCTCACCAGCCAGTTTAACAATATATTTTAATTTTTTTGTGGGCGTGTATTTTGTTTGTGATCATATTTCTTTTCCTTTCTTTGAACTGAAATATCATTTCTTATCTCCTTTTTTTCCCCTTTTCTTTCTCTCTCTGTGTAATTGCCAGTGTGTAAATTTTCATTTGAGTATTGTGATTATTTGACCTGTAATTGGTATATGATTTACATCATGGTTTTTGTTTGAATTTGTTACTAGCCAAGTTGTTTTTATACATTTAAAGAAGAGTTAGAGTTGTGCTTAAAAAGTAATTAATTGCAGAAATCATACCTTTCCGGCATCATAAATTTAGCCAATTTTATATGAAGTTAGATAAAGGTAAGGGGAAATCTCACTGAAAAGCCACCCCACAAAATTTTACTTTACCGCACACTTACAACCATAGTTTTAAAAAACGACCCGGAAACGGAATCGTTCTGGCCACTGGTTTCTAGACGGTTCGACAATCCGGTTTGAACAGATGATCCGTTCTGATAATAAAAATTAAAAAAATAAAAAAATAATTAAAAATAAAAAACGGCCAAAAACTGTTGAATTGGTCAATGAGGTTTAACGGTTTTTGGCCAGGAACCACCAGGTTTGGGGTAAAACGGAACCGTTTGCCTGAACAGTTCCTAGGCCAAACAGGCCAACCATCCGAATCAACGGCAGTTCAAAAATCATGCTTACAACAGTTTAAAGCATTCAGGACCCCCACTTATCATACCCTTATAATGGCATCAATTCCCCCAATGTCACTGTTGAGTAAAAATTTGTAAGCTGGGGGTAAATGAAAATTATTAGGGAGATGAAAACGATTATATAGCAAGTAAAGAAAATAACAGCGTATTGGCATAGGATTGGTAGGTTTTGGTCCATACAGACCAATACCATGAGAGATGTTCTGATGTGCGGCTAATTAGTGTTTTGTGGGTATGGTATGAGTAGCATATCCAAGCTTAATACTAGTATACTACCAATGTATCAGTTGATACCGTGGATATGAATGGAATAGAATCAAAATCTTGGCGTTTTCACCCATGCCACATCTATAACCCCAAAATCAATACAAATCAATGTTAAAAGCTTTTAGATGAATATAAATAAGGTTGCCTTTGGATAAACTTTAGGATTTCTGTGCATAAAAATAAATAAATAAAATAAACTTTAAGATTTCTATCTATAAAGCCTCAACGCACAAAACCCGTATTTTAGGCTTTGTGTTTCGGGGCTTAAAAGTGTGTTTGACTTTAGGTTATGTTTTCAAAACACGTATAACACTTGTTGTCACATATTTGTTTAACACAGCCCAAATCTCAAGAGTAGAAGCTTATAAAAAACATATTTTGATGGTTTATATAAAGTACTAGTAGGGACCCGTATTAAAAGTGAAATAATGGAAATACATAATAGTAAATACATTTTTCTCAATTTTCCATTGTAACACTATGAACTAATATCATCATAGACAAGGATTACAATGTTTAAATTATATAATTTATAATTTATATGAAAAAAACAAATGTATTTTAAATATACTATGAATTAATTACATTTATTTCTTGAAGATTATTGATAATTAGTACATATTTTCAAAAAGTAATTATGACAAGATTATTGGTACTTTATTTTCGGTTATTTTCTTGGCTAATTGTTAGGCATTAAATGTAATTTTCTGCTATTTATAGCTTAAATTATATTTAAATATAATTACTTTTAATTACAGTTTAAAATTTAATTATATTGCTTACAGTTTCAAATATAATTTAAATAATATTTAAAATACAATTTGAATAAATACTGTAATTAATAATACTGTAAAATATGGTTAATTATTAATACTATAATTATTAAAAATACTATTAGTAAAAAATACATTACTTTTAGTAGATAATTTTAATTAATTAAAATATTGTAATTATTAAAAACTACTGTATTAATTAAAAGTAGGTTTAATAAATTATAACATACACTATATTAATTAATAAAAGATATTAATATTTTTAATAATACAATGTTTTAATAAACGCTATTAATTAATAAATACTATAATTAATAATACTGCAATTATTGAAAAATACTGCAAAATATGGTTAATTATTAATACTGTAATTATTAAAAAATTTGTAATTATTAAAAGTACTATATTAATTAAAAATACTGTTAATTAATAAATTCAGTATTTTAATAAATATTTTTAATTAATTAATAATACTGTAATTATTAAAAATACTATATTAATTAAAATGCAGTTAATACTGTAATTATTTAATTACTGTTAATTACTAGATACTGTAATTGTTAATACTGGTTTTTAATAGTAAGCACATATAGTAAACACATTTTTTCTATTTTTCGTTGTAACACTGTGAACTACTATCATCATAGCCAAGGATTATAATGTTTAAATTATATAATTTATAATTTATACAAAAAAAAAACAAATGTATTTTAAATACACAATGAACTAATTACATTTACTTCTTGAAGATTACTGTACATATTTTCAAAAAGTAATTTTAATGATTATATTTTTTAATGGTAATTTATCATATTTACTGAAAATCATGTTAATCCATTTTTGGTAATTTCTTGAATAATTTTTGGTAATTATGACAAAAGTATTGGTATTTTATTGTTGGTTATTTTCCTGACTAATTTTTGTTCATTAAATGTAATTTTCAGCTGTAAAAAATAAAAATAATGTGTGGATAATTCCACCCATGCAATGGGCGGTAAGCCTCAAAACCAATGTCGCCTAAACGGCCTGATACATTGCGATAAAGCCTTTGAATGTTTGTATTATGTAGAGTGGAGAAGAACTTGGGCTACTTAGTACAATAGGATAATAGTTTTTTAGCCTTCTCTCTCTCTCTCTCTCTTAGATGAGTAAGAAACTCCTTTAATCCTTTTTATTAAATTTTATGCCACCATTGGATTGGAATATTTTCAACTTGTTATCTAGTTAGGTGCAGTTGGGTTAAGCTGCAGTATAAATTTCATTTGAACTAGTGTAAATGCATGGGAGTGCAAAAGGGTTGCATGTAAATTCTAATTTATTTTTGATTCGGATTTGACTTTGTACTATTTGTTTGTTTGTGACAAGTAAAATGAGGTGACATCTACTTTACATAAGAGAATGGAGTTATGAGGGTTATCTATCTTCAAGTAAGGTATGATACAAGATGATGTTGTTACCACTTTATATGGGGAAGAATTGAGATAAGATTGTGGGAGGAAGCCCGAAAGATTCAAAAAGCAAAATTTATAATGCCAGTGAGTGCAAAGGTGAGAAAATACAAATTTTGTTTCAAGTCATAATTACAAATAACTAAAAGTAGAACTGGACCAGATACAAATTTTACACCTGATCAAAATTTGCACTACAGGTAGTATAGAGTTTGCTTCAATGAAATAAACTAATAATGTTGTAAATACATTAATGAAATCGACATAATAACGAAAGCTATAACTATATCAAGGGCATACAGGAGAAGATTCAGATAGTTGATTTCAATTTAGACTACATAAGGCCAGGGTCATTGGGCCAGGCCTATTTCAAATTTAAATAAATGCTTAGAGGTGATTTGAAACTTTCTCTCTCATCTATAACAAAATCAACTTTTGTTTTTATTGTAATGAAGGTTTGAAATATCAGTATTGCAAAGATAAAGCAAGAGACTTATCTAGATGAACTCTTATTCTCTTAAGAAACCTCCTAGATGCATCAATTTATAAGAAGGGTTCTGTCAATATGTATGATTTTGTTTTTCAAAACAAAAATAACTGCTACATTAATATAGGGGGTGTTTGGTAGAGTGATGTTACGATGCCATTGACATCAAAATTGTCATTTAGAAAGAAATAACAATTTGTATTGATAAACCCAAAATGCAATGACAATGTAACACCACTGTACTAAACGCCCCTATAATTTTGTTGATTTGACAGTTAAGAATAATATCATACATATTTCCATATTTACAAATACATCCCAAGTTGTTTAATGTGATTTAGAGAAATAAAAAACACTTGATAAGTGGTGAGGAAAAAATATAATGATCTCTATAAAAAAAAAGGATATAAAAAATTGTACTAATTATCACATGAATAAACCTAAGAATCATAGTACAAAATTTTGGAAGAGGGTGGTTTGCACTCTAGATCTGTTACCCGCTAAGTGTTCCCACGTCCCTACAATGACAAGTGAAATATTCTCAGTGCTTAGCTATAATATGCTGTGGGGTTGTGAGTAGAGATGTAGGAACAGATTGTGGGTAGCAGATCCAAGCCCAGTGATTTGAACAACAAATAAGCCATGAAACTACTATGTCAAAAAAAATCAACTTGACTTCATTTTAAATAATTAATTCTGGAAGTTATTTTTAAATTCAAATTTCACATAAAAGTTAAGAGAATGGAAGAAGTTTATTAATTTGAAAAAAAAAAAAACATATAATAGAGTTCTTATAAAGGTCATGTGGTGGGTTTTAAAAAAGAAAGGAGATTCAAGTATATACCTGAAAGAGATACAAGAGAATTTTTACTTGTGGTTGGTTTTAAACAAAAAATTTAGCACTTTCTATCTTTTTTCATCAGTTATCGATGCACTAAGTAAATACTAGTAAACGTGTACGTGCATTTACACGACAGTATCTCTAAGACAAAATTATTTATAATTCATAGGTATTTTTTTTTTGTTATAAGTGGGTAGTTTCTGAACTATTATAAGTGGGGCAGTTTCTAAAGTGAGAGTAAAGGACATTTATGCCCATTGTATGCTTAGACAAGAGGAGTAGAAAAGGTCCAATGAAAATTCCAGAAAAGGAGGTATTCACTCTTTTATAAGTAACATAGATTATTTTATATTAGTTTTTTGATGACATAAAATTAATTGACAAGATTGAAGATGAGCTAAATGCCAACATTAGCATAACATCTGGTTTCACAAGAGAAAGAAGGATTGTGGAAATTGAAATCAAGGGAGACATGGTTAGAAGAGGAGATAAAAAAACATAGCTTTTTCATCAAGTAACGAAGTTTAAGAGAAGAACACAGGCAATTGAAGGAAGAGGAGGGAATGCAAATGAATGGATTACAATAGAAAAGAAATAGGAAGGAGATTTAAGGAAGAAATAATAAAAGTGGGAGGAAAAGAAGAGGGATTCAAAGAATTAAGAGGGGTTAGAAGATCCGACACTGCCAAAA